TCCCAGGCCCGGGGACGAGGTGGGCATGTGCTCGCCAGGGGCTCCGAGAGGCAGGCCGAGCCCTGGGCGCCGAGTCCAGCCCCAGCCGCCGCCCCCGGGTTATCCTGTTCCCTGTCTGGGCCTCAGTTTCTTTTTCTGTAAAGCCTCCTGACACTGCGCACTCCCGGCCCCAGGACCCCTCCTCTGAATGGATACTCACCTTCTCCCACCTTGACTGGGTTGCTACTGCAGGCCAGCATCATCTCACTGAATCCACTCCGCTTTTTACACGAGGAAACAGGCTCATCGGGGAAATGACCTCCCGCAGGTCCCAGAGCCAAAGGTCAGAACCAAGACTAGAACCCAGGCCTGTGTGACCTCGAAGCGCTTACTCTTAACCACTTAGGGGTCATGCTTCCTTTCCCGAAGGAGTGAATGAATCATTCAGGAGGTGTTTATGACGCCCCCGCGGGACCGCGCGTGGTGCCAGCTGTGGGCGATCCTCCATCTCCCGGGAACGGCTCCCACCCTGCCCTCGCAGTCTGATGGGGAGGCGCTCACACATTAAGAGGGGCTAGGCTCTGCGTGGGACGGTGCCACCTGCCATGGGCACAGGAACCAGGAGAGCGGGCTTGGTGGGCACCTGAGGAGGCCTCCTGAGGACTTGGGGCGGGGTGGGGAAGCGGGGTGAGGACCTCAGGAGGGGAGCGCCCGTGCAGAGGTAGCAGTGGTCCTGGACCAGGAACCCTCCAGGCCTCTGGGGCTTCCCTCTCGAGAGAGCTGGGTCTGTGCTGGCTTTGTGGGGAGGGGACTTCCTTGATCTAAAAGGCCGTGCCCAGGGGAGCCATTAATGCAGTTCCACTCTCACCCACAGGGAGCGCCCTTGTTTTCCGTTCATTTTCTGGACCTGGAAGAGGAAGAGAAAGTGAGTAATTATACCCTTTTGGCCCGCAATGGTTCATGTTGTGACCCAACCATAAAATTACTTTTGTTGCTACTTCATAACTGTCATGTTGCTACTGTTATGAATCGTCATGTAAATATCTGATATGCAGGATGGCCTTAGGTGACCCCTGTGAAAGGGTCGTTGGACCACCAAAGGGGTCGCGACCCACAGGTTGAGAACCACTGCAAAGTTTAGCGGGAGAGGCTGGGCACTGGGTCATGGGCTTTCTCTGCCATTGCTCATGGCACTGACTCTTCACAGGCACGTGCAGTTAGGCAGGACTGAGCCATTTTCCACACAAGGATACCTGGCTGAGGAATGATAGTGTGCCCGGTTTGGGAAGGAGTGGTGTTAGACACGCCATCCTCACCTAAAAGGACACACTCTGATGCCGGCTTCCTCTGGAGCAGCAAAGAGGTGAAGCTGAAGCTGGTCTGGCTCTGGGGCACCCTCCCAGGCTGAGTGTGAAGGGAGATCTTGTCAAGTTCAGGTTTAAAAACACCCTTCAAGCCCTAACCAGTTTGGCTCAGTGGATAGAGGGTCGGCCTGCGGACTAAAGGGTCCCAGGTTCGATTCTGGTCAAGGACATGTACCTTGGTTGCGGGCACATCCCCAGTAGGGGGTGTGCAGGAGGCAGCTGATAGATGTTTCTCTCTCATGGATGTTTCTAACTCTCTATCCCTCTCCCTTCCTCTCTGTGAAAAAATCAATAAAATATATTTTAAAACAACAACAACAACAAAAAAACACCCTTCAATGAACAGAGAAGCGTGCACACGTGCACCAAAGACAGGGCCTACGCGTGCCAGCAACGGGCAGGTGTGAAATGCATTGTAGCACAGTCACATGGCCTACCACCCGGCGATGGGGAAACAAGACTACTGTGGCCCACAACACGGTGGGTGAATTTCGCTTGTCATGTTGAGCGAAAGAAGCCAGACACGAAAACACACATTGCATGATTCCGTTGACAGGAAGTTCAAAAAAACAGGCAAAACTACTCGCTACTGTTCCCAGTCGGGATGGGCATGACCCGTGGGTGGCGACTGGAAGGGGCCTGCGGGAGCTCTGGGGTGCGGCTCATGTCCCGGCTTTGACCTCAGTGCTGGTCCCTGGGCGTGGTCACTTTGTGAAAATGTCTGAGCTTGCACAGTTATGATTTGTGTACTTCTCTGTGTACGTGATTCCCTTCAGTACAACTTACAGCCCTGGCCGGGCAGCGTGGTTCGTTAGAGCGCCGTCCTGATAAACCAAGGTTGCAATCCCCAGTCAGGGCACATGCAAGAATCGACCAATGACTGCGTCACAAGTGGAACAACAAATCAGTGTTTCTCCTCTCCCCCCTCCCCCCCCCCATTATCCCTTACTCTCGCTCTGTAGATCAATCAATAAAAAATATACAACTTAGAAAACCAAAAACTTCGTATGGCTCCCCGCCGCACCCGAATAGCAGCCAAACTCCTTCTGTGGCCCTGTTGGCCGCCCTGACCTGTCATGCCACCCTCCTCCTCACTCACCCACCTGCCGCCTCAGACCTCCTGGCGTTCCTGACACCTGCCAAGGCGTTTTCCACCTCAGGGACTCTCACGTGCTGGTCCCTCTGCCTGGAAAGCCTTTTCTCGCTTCTCGCCAAGACTGCTTCCTCCGTCTCCTGTGCGTCACCCTGAGGAAACCACCTCTTCAGAGCGATCCCCCTGACTACCCACCAGCCACACCCCGCAGTGGCTTATTTGTTTACAGCTCATTTTCTGCATCTACCACTGGACTAATTATCAGAAACCCGAGGGACATTTGCTGTGTGCCAGGCCCTTTTCTAACAGGTGTCAAGGCATTGAATCCTCGACCCCCCCTGGGGAGGTGCTATTCTGAGTCCTGTTTTATAATTAAGGCGATTGGGGCTCAGAAAGGTTATATAACTTGCTTGTGGCCACAGAGCTGGAAAGTAGCAGAGTCAGGAATTGAATCCATGCATCTTGGCTTCCGGATCCCTTCCTTTAATTCTACACTTGGACAGATCTTGTCTCTCTTCTTCGCTGTGGTCTATCTGGGACAGTGTTTGTGGTGTGAATGAAGGGATGGATGGTGAATGAAGTGCTAGTGGGAAGTGGGGGGAGGCTTGGGTCTGAGAGTGGGTGTTGAGGAGAGCCGGTAGGCTATGGTGTCTGGAGTCCCAATCACAAGGGAAGCAGGGACCTGAGAGCAGACGGATCTCATTGCAGCTGTGCTCAAGGCCAAGGCCTTACCCATGTCTGCTGCTCTCCAAATTTCTCTCTGCCTATCCCCAAACCCTTTCCTGAGCTCTCTGCGCAGGCTTTCCTGCCCCTGCCCTTGCCCTGCCTCCTTGTCAATATGATGTTTCTCTCCAGCTATGAACTCTCTGGCCCTCCCAGGGTAGTCCCGTCAGGCCCCCCTCACCTCTCCAACTCCCTTCCTCCCACCCACCCCTGAGATCCAGAGCCCTCCTTGCCAGCCAGGAAGGAAGGAGCGACAAGACACTGCTGGTCACACAGGGAGAGACTTTATAAAGATCAAAACACCAGACACACAAAGGGATTCTAGCCATGAAAGCGACAGCAGCTGGCACCTGTCGGCATGCTTCACACACTCTTTGTATTCATCATCTCCTTTGAACCTCCAGGTTGAGAAACCCAAGTCCAAGAAAGCTGCAATCACCAGCCACGTGGATCCCACAAGACCTGGCCCCAAATCCCCAGCCCTGTCTCTCCAAGGAGCCCCGCAGCCTCCCTTTGTTCTTGATTGAGGCTCCCACCATCCCATGACCTAGGGCCCCCACCTTGCCTGACTGTCCGCACCCCGGTCAGGAGGTGGCCCCTTGAGTAGCTGTCATCAGCACAGCTCCTTGAAGAGTTTGCCCTCCAGGGATGCAGAGAGCATGAGGCTGTGGGCCCAGGACCCAGGATGGGGGAGTGCTGATGGGGCAGCTGAGGAAGCCCGGAGGTGCAATGCTGCCCCGGTGGCAGGAGCTAGTTCTCCCAGCACCAGCCTCAGCCGGTCTGCTTCCCTGTGGCAACTCCGCACCCCAGGGACCCTCGGTCTTGGCACCAGCGAGATACCTGGGCTGCCTTCTTCACCTGCAGCTAAGAGGCCTTGGTCAGGGGAAGCTGCCACTGACCTTAGGGCAGATGCAGGACAGAGGTCCCTATTCCAGCCACCGGTATGTGCCCAGGGCAACCTGTCTGCCTGCCCCTTCCCTGCTGCTGGGTGTCACTCTGTCCGTCTGCCTCTGTGGCTCAGAGGCCCAGGGTTGGAGTGACTCTCCCCACTCCACTCCCAGCCCGATCCAGCTCTCTGGGCCCATGTTCACTGCCTGAGATGGTCCTGCCCTTGCCCCTATCACTGTCTTCGGCAGCCCCAGCCTCCAGGGAATGTCGAATTCCAGTCTCCTCCCCCCGCTGGGTCTCAATGTCTGTGATCTCTCTCTCTCTCTCTTTTAAAATTTTTTATTTTTATTTATTTTTAGAGAGAAAAACATCAATGGGAGAGCAAAGCACCCATAGGCTACCTCCATGTGAGGCCACAAGGGTTCCAGCAGCCTGTGGGGGACAGGACAGGACACCTAAGCCCATTCGTGACCTCAGACTCCATGTTAAGCCTT